TCTTCAGAACTTTTTTTTTTCTAATTAACTCGACATTTTCATAAAAACCATTATTCACCATAAATTATTTCAAATGCTTATTGATTTCACATTCACACTCGAAATCACCTGCAAATGTGAATGCAAAAAACTTCAATTCGTTCCGCACTCCAACAAAGAGCCAATAAATGAAGCATTAAAACCAATTCAAACCATCAAACATCAAACATCAAAGTCAACAGAATTTATTGCACTACTTTTCTAGTACGAATATTTGAAATTACTGTACTCATACATACTTACATCAGTGTACTCAACAAAAAAAAAAAAAAAAGAGTAGAAATACTTGCACTTGCATTCCGGTTTTCGTAAATTAGGTGAAAAACTGTAACCAACCGTATGATGATGGTGGTCCACAACCACAAAACTCTGTAGTGTCTTGTGGCTGTTGCATGGCTATAAATGCAAATAAATTAACGGGTTATTGCATTCACATCAGCCAGATGCCTGAGCAAGAAATGCAAGGGAATTCGCGTTTGCGGAATACAAAGAAAAATTCACACGAACATATAATATATGTATGTGTGTTTAAAAAAATCAAAATGCAAACACAAAATTGTTAGGTATCCTTAATATTACAACCATAATTTATGTATGTTTGCATAGATGTGATAACATTTAATTTGAGCCAGGAAAATTATAAAAAAAAAAAATTTCTAAAATCTTATCTTAGATTAAAGTTACATAAAAACTCTTTTAGAAATCAAATTTTTTCAAAATTCGTTTATTAGAAAAAAAAACTGTTTTCAAACTACAAATTTTTCTTTGCGAAGCACCTTTGCGAAGCGAAGTATTGAATATGTGAGCACTTATTTATTAGCGCATTATTTGGTTGAGTATGTGAATTGATAATCAATTTACATGGCTCTCTGACGTATTTGCATAGAAAATTATAGCTTACGTAGTTTGGTATTGCTGGGAAATGAAAATACAATGATTTTATAGCATATAAAATCGTACTAGCGCCGTGTTGTAATACAAATAACTATGTTATTCATGCTTTAACGGTATTTATGTGAAGTGCCAATAAAATCATATATAAGTATTTGTATATAATATATACATATACACGTTTCGCTTGTGTAAAGTTGTTGCTATGAGTAAAATCGTATAGGCTTCCATCTACGCTGTTGAAAAATGAGGTTCTCCAAACCTCACAGTGGCCATGGGCAAGTGTATGCTATTTCTACAAGACAAAAAAAATGATTTCCAATGGTGCCAATTTCAAATTTGCACTCCCAAAATGTAGCAGTTAATACTAAGTATTACTAACTTAACTTCTGTATTGTGTGTCTGTATTTAAGGAAAATTTAATATTAAAAGATATTTTAACGATTTTCCTCAAATAAACCTCGATGACTTTTCAAGTCATCCGAGTTCAATTACTGTGTGGTGAAATAAAAGTCCCACGATTTGTTTTCAACTTCGTTATAGTAAACACACAGTTTACTGTATTCTTAATAAACTACACAATTTACTAATTATACTATGTAAACGCAGAGTTTATTCCGCTGTAAAAACACAGTTTACTGTGTTTCACATTACACCGTTGTTGTCGCTACCGAGCTCCAAACTCACTGAATATGCCAGCATTACACGCATTGCTCTTATGTAGCTATAAATTGCTCGCATGCATACGGTAGAAGATGCTGTTTGAATGTTCTCGATAACGAACATTCGATACACGCGCTCTAACTAGAACATACATTTCACATCCATATTTGGCATTTTCCCTACAATAATATACAAGAAATTATATAATATATTATATAATTAAATACCGTTTTTGTTAGAAAAATGGAAAATCTTTTTAGATTTTCTACAGTTCTTTTGTTGTTACTTTTGTGGTTGTAGCGGTTCACTAAGTCTAAATTATCGAGATCATCTAACGGCTATTCCACGGAACCAGCTGTGTCGACGGGTACGGATCAGATGTAGAGGGGGCTTAGATGAGTTGGTTTAACTCCGCGAACGCCATTCACTAAGAGAGGTATTGACGTACACTCGGTAAATGTCTGTCGGTAAGCTGTACTGTCCAGCGTTTGTTGTAGGTGGTGCTGAAAGCAGTCCTTAAATTCGAGTACTCCCTTTCTGATATGACTAGGTGATGGTTCAGCTTCTGCTGAGTGTCTGTTGGAGTGCTGGCTATGGTAGCAACTCCTTCGGCTACCAAGCCCCGTTTAGGTCAACATGTAGTACGAGTATTAGATTCGAACATTCTCTTTTGATATAATTTATAGCACATCTACATAATTCTGAGAATTTCTGACATCTGTAATTGCTGCAGAGCAGAGAGTTTTATCTAAATGCAATTTAAAAGAAATTTTTGTTCAAGACCCATCGTTTATTCATTGATACAAAGCTTGGTGTTCGATCATGACGGGCTACAGAAGGAGTTTTTTTTTTGTTTTATTGATTAGTCTACTACATATATTGTTGCTTTTCTGAACATAAGATCATATGGAAAACTAAAATCAACCGATTTCATTCTGGACCACAATATCTGAGTAAGACTCGAACCTAAGCAGTAAGAGAAAAAGGTCTTAGGCTAGACGCATGGCTGAAAAGCCTAACAGTACCAAAATTTTCGGCTTTATTAAGACCTTACAGACTCTTGTGACAAACCGCTCTTTCCAATATTCGAACTTAGTTCAGGTACGTACCAATACTAATACAATATTATCGAGAATTAGTCTTAAGTCTTACCAATATTTTACAATTTATAAAGATATCGTAGCGGGCTGACTACTTCTAACACCTAAAACACTTATTAAGCCTGTTAACATTCGAAAATTACAAAGATTGAAAAGACTGGTGAGTAGTTGTAGATTTAGAGTTCCTAAGAAACTAAACTTTGTGAGAGCTCGTTAGACCAAGAACAAGTTCGAATGAGCATTTACAAGATTCCAAGTTCTGTTGCCGTTTAAGTCAGATGAACCCCGGATACAACATTATATGCCCGAAAACAGATAACGATAGACTGTCCAGAATTAACCGGCTCCACAATAGCAAAAACTGCTTAAACGGCTGGATAAAGGATAGCGTCTGTTTTTCAGGATAGTCATATAGTTATTTTAATCGGTTATCTCCAAAAGGTAAAAACCACATTTGTAGCGAAAAGAAATCTGTTTTTGAACTGCTTGACCGTCCAATTCACTCATCAGATTCAACCCAAGCGACTTCGATTTGTTTACTGTTCTAATGAATGCGCTCGGAGGACAGAGATATTCGTAAAATGGAGAGACAATTACAATTATTTCGCAGAGGAATACGCCAACTACTGTTTGGATGGGTTACAGAGATGAGCGCTAAGTTGGGAGAACTGTGTAGAGTTAAGAGGAGACACTTTTAGAGTAACTATGCTGTATATTTGTTACGTCGTAAAGTATAGAAGTAAATTCAAATGTTATCAGAGGGTAAAGGCAATTTTTCCATTAGACTTTATTAGGTTCTCTAGCAAGCAGTATGGAAATATCATCAGAGTGGTTGTAACGTTTTAATATCATGAGTGTTATGTTATTTTTGCTATTCTGTCTTTTGAGTGAGTACGACGTATGGAAGTAGAATTTTGGTGATAGGTTCGATTTTCTGTGAAGACTTTTCAAATATGTACCAAGAATAAGATGATATTTTTCTTAATTGATAGTGTTACTATATTTCCCCCGTGCTAGTTGATAGAGAAATCTATAATTTTAATTCAGTGTCGTTCGCACTTGGCCATGCTCTAGAAGACACATGATGATGTAAAGTTAAGCTGTTATTTGATCTCACATAGAGTGAAAGGTAATCAAAATCCTTCCTTAATCCAAGTCTGTACAAAAGTGCAATACGAGTACAGAATTTACAGTAGGTATAAGGAAGAAAAATTATTTTAGCGTTTCCCAATATTTTGGTTATATAATTGATGCTCCTCCAATTGCTCGTCTGAAACTTTTGTACGGGTTCGAACGCCCCATGGATTCTTATGGGAAGCTTTGATTTTAATGTCAGAAATACACTAAGAGGGCTTGATACTCTTTGCCAATGGGCAATCACAATTATATTTATATATAATAGGCACTTTGTAACCGCTGAAGCGATTTTCTGCTGAACTCCTCCTCCAATTTGTGGTTTTCATGTTTTTCAAACAAATGGAGGGACCTACAATTTATACCAAGCCGCCTCCGAACGGCTGATGGTTTTTTTTACAAGGAGCTTTTATTTCATGTCCGCAATACACTCAGAGGGGAGGATATTTCCTGCCGAGGGGCAAGAAAATTTAACTTACATTTTTATTTAAATTATTTTTCCATTACTTTTTGATGTTGATGGCACCGGGATTTGAACTCGAGCCTTCCGAATTTCAGTTCGCAAAGCTAACGACTCGGCTGGTACGGTCATCAAGAACTAAATACACTTATTAAAATCCGGACATAATGAGGACATGACACAATTAATTTTTAATTTATGCTTGGAAAGATGAAAAAATGAAGGCTCCAAAAGGAAAAAGTAATATAAACACATGATGTTCACTGGAAAAATCTCCTAAATAAATTTTGCCTTAAATCACAAGTTCACCGAAGAGAGACATAAGTTGGTGATCTTATAACAAATTCAGTTTTAATGTTAACCTCTAGAATATTGAGATCTTAGCTCCCACCTGCTGTTAAAGGCAGTACCAGTGGTTAGCTTACGGTTGAGTGAAGTCTTAGTGGGTTCAAGCCTCACAATGACAGGGCTAAAACTTTCGATGCTTTCCATACTTTTCAAAAAAAAAGATAAAACCTTCCACATTTAGTAAGGCAAAGTAGTGTATTCACCAGCTGAAAATCTGCTAAACTTATGTAGGTAAGCTAGGTAATTGGTGATCAAATGCAGTTGGATCAGTTCTTTGTGCAATTTCTACATTTAAATTATTTACAAGCACATTTTTCTGTAAATATTTATTCCCACACACTTATACACATCAATAAATTACCTACCACATTCATCGTTGCACTTGCTTTGTATTTATGGCGATCTGTCTTCGTTAGAGATACACCAAAATTTATCGCTAAATCCGTTAGAAAATTCCTCTTGCCACAAATGTTTTAGTCTTTGAAAACACCCACAACGCGAATTTATGTTTTTTTTCTCCCGTACTTCTTGATCTAAACCGTGCTTATAGAGCGAATTCTGAATTTTAGCTATAACTATGGTTATCTACTCTGATCGAACGCTATTGACCATGCCCCGGTTGGGTATTTGCCTTTCTATGTATTGAGCGCGTTAATCAACTGAACCGCTACAAAGTGGTTTTCGCCTTTTTATACCAACCACCAACCCCAAAGACCACAAACAACGAAAGACGCAATAGGCGCGGACAGACGTAGGGCATAAAAGCGCAACGGTGGTGTGAGAGGAGGTGCAACTTCGTGCAGAGTAAACAAGTTGGACGGGTGAATAATAAACAAAAGCTTTAAGAAGTCCAGCCGTGTTGCATGTTCAGTGTGGTATGAGCAAAAAGCTGACGCGCAAATTCACCGCAGCCAATGAGAGTGAGAGTGCACAAGGTGCGCATGCGCAACCAAATAACAAACAAAGCTGGTTTCTTACGATCACTATAATGGTTATTTTATAGTTTTAGTTTTTGTTTTTCATGCGAAAACTTGAGTTCATTCGTACGCTCACCGGTATATTTGTGGAGCTTAATAAAAGAATTAACTACTTGACGACTGTCTGTGGGGAAAAAGCAGTTTTGGTGAGCGCATGCTTTTCAGGCGCTCCGAATGTGCGAAAGAACTGTAAGCCACTACACACATAATTACGGATTTTAAATGAAGTTGTTGTATTACAGTGAGTGGCTGCTGATAACAAAAGAGTCGCAAATAGAAATTTAAGAAATATACAAATATCAATAATAAACAAATCAAGCGTCTATTAGTTTAAAGTTTGCAAAGAGCTAAATGAAATTAATATTGGTATTTTCTAAGAAATTTATAAGTAATAAGCAAAGCAGCATAATATAAACCAACAAATATGAACCACATGAAAACACTTTTGTATCTTTTGAAACGTTCTTTCACCAAGTATTTTTAAGACATTTGATATAAAGACTAAAAAATCTCAAATACTGTTCTATATATATATATATATATATATATGTAATTATAATCACTACGTAGATCTGATGGTGGATTTTTAGTATAAAGAATGGAGAAAAAATCAGAATTTAAAATCGCATATTTTTCTACAGAAGTTCAAATCCAAGAATGTGGTGACCGAAACCATTACAGTCCGGTCTGCCAGGATCCTAAACCTGTCGCGGACGGTCGCGTTTACACAGGCTTATCACAGTGAACAGCTATGTGAAAGCGTTGCAATATCTTAAGTGGATAGTTTGGAATTAAATAATTAAAAACATTGAAAAGTTTTAGGTGAAAACATTAAAGGATCGTAATTTCCAAATTTGTCTTTTAAATCATAAAATATTTTTCATTTTTTTTTTTTTTTTTGCTTTGGCTCAGCAGTAGTACTTTTTCACGGGATATCCCAAGTTTTTTCTTTACATGATAAAATATTTATTAAAAAAAAAAAACTTCATTACTTCTCTTGTTAAAACAAAAGATTCAGTAATAAGGGGGGTGTCTAATACTTTTGGCTCAGGCTAAATATATATATTTTACTAATAATTTTTTTGATTTTTAGAAAAAGAAAACCGTCTTTTGAGTTACATTATTTCTGCCAATCACTTAAATTCACTCTCAATTTTTGCCAAGCTTTTGCACCAATTCCGCTTGGTGTCAGATTTTCATTTTTTTTTTTCAGCTTATTAATCTTTCATTTTTGGTTCACCAATCAATTATATACATTTCATAGTTAATTGGAGCATGTGAGGTATTTATTTTATTTTTTTGGTAATATTTTCCTTACATACATATATAACTTGGTGTTCCGTTAATTCGATTTGCTCAATTTTCTGGATTTATGAAATGCATTTATTCGAAAGTTAAAGGTGTTATAAATACTATTTACTCAACTCATATATAATATTTATACATATATATGTATGTGTAATAATTGAGAAATTAACTTTGCTGTACTCCTAACCCAATTAACACCTGTGTTAGATAACTAAAGGAAAATTATATTTTAATTTAAAGAAATTCACTCTCAATACTGAAAGTATTATAAACTACTGAAGATTGCAAAAATAGATACACATACATATATACTATGAAGATAGTTAAAGCCAAAAGTTGTTCGGTCATGACATGAGCCGTTGTCGGGAAATTCTCTTTATAGCTGCTTTCACTTATACTAGGTCAAGTAAAAAGTTCATTCTGTTTTTTTTATCGATTTTTCAAAATGGGATTATTTTATGTACATTTGTCCGATTTAAGTCAAATATGCGCCGTTTTGTTCGTAAACTTGTTGCCGATCCGACTTCATTACACCTCTCTCGTATATGGCTGCGTCCCTATTGGCAAAAAACTCGGATAGCCAATTTTCAGAGGCCTCTCTTGAGGCCAACTTTTCACCATGAACCGCGTTCGCCATGGACAGGAAAAGATGGTTTCACTTGGGGAAAAATTCCGGACTATACGGTGGATGCATAAGGACCTCCCATCCGAGTCTGGGCCGCTTCCCCGAGCTTTTACCACGAGCGTTTGCGCTCGATGTTCTCGTAAGTGACCAATTTTTAATCGCCAGTCACAATCCGCTTCAGAAATGGGTCGATTTTGATGCGATTCAGCAGCGATTTGCAGATGGAAATTCGGTCCATCACGTTTTTTACGTTAGTTCCTGTGGCACCCAATCATTGAGCTTCTTTTGAGTCCAAGGTTATGCACATGGTTCCAAACGGTTTTCTGGCTTAACTTTAGTTCCACAGCAATTAAATAAGAGCTCACGTGACGGTCTGTTTCCACTACTTTCATGATTTTATCGCAATTTTCGACGATAGGCGTCTCGACGCGTGGTGCATCTTTGGCATCGAAATTACCGAAACGGAACCCAAGAAACATTTTTTTGTGCTACACGTTCGTTTACAGTATCAGGTCCATACTCTAAAGGAATTTTTTCGGCCGCTTTGACTGCTTTATCGCCTTGATCGAATTTACTATTCGACGAGTCAATCATTCTAAAAACTTTCAAAGACAAACTCTTAGCGCGAATAACACGTAACACTAGTATTATGGACAAAAACGCGATCTCTTAGATAAAAACTGAACTTACTTTTTACTTTACCAATGTGTTTCGATTTTTGATGGCAAATAAATACCAAATGAATCCAGATCGCTGTCCACCTGATCAGAATTGAGCTCTTTCTCTTCCTATATTTCCCTGTATTCACTGGGGTATATCAATTTAATCGTATAAGTAGTACAGCTCATCGCTCTATCGGCTGTGTTATTTTCCGTTTTCAAAACGCTAGTTTGTAGACTAGTAACTAGCAAAACTTTTCTCTAGAAAATTGCTGACGCCAACTCATCAAATGTTGTCATCATCAATTTCTCCACATCATACAGCAGGACTGGAGTGATGAGGGACTTATAGAGTTTGGTTTTGGTTTGTCCAGAGAAGACCTTACTACTCAGTCCGTAGTAGCTTCTCTTGGGAATTGCGTTGGATTTCTAGGCTGATGAAATCATGTTTTTTTTTATGAAAAGAGATATTTCGCCTTGTCCTCGTTAACAACCAGACCGATTTGCTTCGTTTCTTTGTCTAGCTTGGAGCAGGCAGAACTAACGGCGCAATTACTGTCATCGGAATCACCCGCCGGAAACGTCGTCTGGTGTCGAACGGCTCGGAGAAGTCCTCCCGATACTGACGGAGCTTTTAGTGTTGCTTAAAGTCAGTTTACATAGCTGTTTTGCGGGGATTCCAAATTCAGCTTTATAGAGGTAAAGACAGCTCATATTCTTGAAGGCGGCTTTAAAGTCGAGGAAGAAATGGTGTGTGTCGATCCTCTTTTCCCGGGTCTTTTCCACGATTTAGCGCATGGTGAAGCAGATCTCAATGGCGGATTCAGCAGGTCTAAAGCCACACTGATAAAGTCCAATCTGTTTATTGATGGTGCGCTTTGCAGCCTTTATTGCAATACGCTTTATAGAACCTTATGTGCGCTTTCAAAGAGGCTAATCCCACGGTAATTCGCACTGGCCGTGGATCCTCGTTTATATGGAAGCGTCGGAAACCACCATGTTTGAATAGCTCTGCCGGTAAGTCATTGGTTACAGCAATTTTGTTGGTATTTAAAAGTGTATTTGCTTTCGGACTTCTTTATAATAGTTTATTGGAACGCCTTTTTCATCATCAACTGTTGTCTTTTCGGATTCACCATATCCAGGTGTTGCTTTTTCACTGCCTTTCAGGAGGCTGGAAAAGTGTTCGCTATTTACACCAAGCGTGTTCTGAACATCGGTCAGTAGATTTCCACATCCCTACATGAATATGCTCTGGTCTTGAAACCTTCTGAGCGTTTTTGGCGCTCATAGAAAGTGTCCTTGGTCAGCTGCTCTTTCTGTTCCATTGAGGCGTGAGCCATTTGATGCATATTTTGACTAAACGTCCACCCACCGATGTCGGTAAATCAGCGACGAATTCTCTCTCCCGGCACAAACAAATAGCTGTCGTAACTTTCACAACAATCTACACGTTCCAGCCTCTGTCCCGTACATCGCAAATCATGTCAGCATTTATTGATGTGAACCAGCTGGGCAGTGGCACCCTCCCAATTAAGTGATATCCAGGTGCATGCCATTAAGTCGGGAACCTTAAAACATTGAAACACTGAATCCCAAAGTTAGTTTGGAGCCTTAGCATGTCACTAACTGAATTTTATTGAACCGCGTTCTATGAGGCATAAACTAAAACTGCTAATTCTTTCTAACATTTCTCACGGAGCAGAGCTGGTTTCTAACAAAAATTAACGATGCGTGCTGATCGATTAGGTTTGCTGATAGCCAGACAGAGCTGAAGTATAAATCAGAAATGCTCAACCAATTCGATTTGTTTATATGAAAAATAAATGTATGGAAATGATTTTATTTCGTTTAGGCGCCATGATATCGAAACGAAATGAAATTTTTAATGCTGAAAATGCATAAGCTCATCGTTAACGTTACAATGTTTAATTGGCTGCTCACAGCGCCTTTAACAGCACATTTCAATGTTATCGTTTAACATTGTCTGTTGACGATTTACATTCGTAAATGACAGTTCATTGCTTTGGTTAAAAACGAAATTAAATTAGTTTTAATAACTGCTTTGCCAACTAC